AGGGTCATCCTCACTTTGTGCCACGATCTTTTCCTGGCTGAGGGATTTTCCCTCCCCCAGAACCTCACAGAAATGCTCAGCAAATCTGCAAACCTGTTCCTGGGGGTCGGAGATTGGATCACCGTTTTTTCCCCTAATGATGGTAATAGGTGTGGCGCTGCAGGTTACTTTTTTGATGAAGTTAAATAGAGATTTGTGATCACGGTCCACTGAGGCAGACTCCATCTCTTCAGCAACCCGCGACCACCACCCATCCTTGCAGCACCTCACGGCTCTCCGAACCTCCGAGCGAAGGCTGCGGTAAGCCTCCTCATTCTCTGACGTGGGATTCTCTAGCCGATGACAGTGGGCCTGTCGCTTTTTCTCAACCATCCTGAACACCTCCTCTGTCAGCCAGGGTCTCTGGGGAGGTCTGGACCGCGTACCCAAAGCAGCCATTGCAGCTGCATGAGTCACAGTCCTAAACCTCGCCCATTTACCCTCGACATCAGGAGGAGTCGGGGACGATGCCAATCCCAGCCGCAAGCGATGATGAAATTCTCGCTTGCAACTTTCATCAGATAACTGAGACCAGGCCACTTCAGGTTGGAATGAGGTCCTGGGTGTACACCCACCACCGGAGTGGAAGAATGGCAGGCGCATCTTACAGATGACTAGTCGATGGTCAGAGGGCAGATCAGCTCCACGGTAGGTCCTGGTGTCAAGGACATGGGCTCGCATCCGCTGGTCCGTCACTATGTAGTCCAGCAGATGTTCTTGCTTGGACCCGACATGGATCCATGATGTTGTGTGGATGCGCCGATGCCGGAACAGCGTGTTGGTAATTACAAGCCCATGGGCTGCACAAAATCTAGTAGCCTCCTACCATTGTTATTGAGCTGATCTGGCCCATGCCCTCCAATCACTCCAGACCAGGTGCCAGCATCATGACTAACTCGGGCATTGAAGTCACCCAACATGATGACTCTATCTCGAGGGGCCACTTTAGCCAGCCCCTGTGACAGGAGGTCATAGAAGGCATCTGACTCATCGGCTTTGCCTGCATCCCTCCACGGATGTTCATCTTCGGTGGGGGCATAAGTAACCACAACCACCATTCATCGCCTCCGGTTGATGGGAAGGTGAGCCCAAAGTAGCCTGGGGCTTACAACTTCCCACACCTCACCGCCACGCTCCCACACCCCCTTCATTCTTTTGTTCAAAAGAAGAGCCACACCCTGTTGTTTGGCAGTCTGCTGCCCCGAGTAGAGGACTGTCCACCCCTCATGGTGGTAGGAGCCAGAGCCGGTCCACCGGACCTCCTGAATGCCACATAGATCCAGGCGGTACCGGTCCAGCTCCCGACAGAGGAGTGGCTGCCTCTCCTCTGCAGTGAGCGTTTGAACATTCCACGTGGCCACCCGTAGTGGCTTTTCGTTGTTTCTGGAGGAGCCCTGAGTGTATATATTCAATTTCCTGGCTCCGCCAATTGGGGTTTGGCCAGGAGACGTCATAGACGCTTGGCCCCCCGGGGCCTCCGGCACAAGCTTATTAGTTACATATTTCAGTTTAACTCGTGGTTTCGTGGTAATTAATTGAAGGTGGAGGGGTTACCAGCCCCTCGCACCCATCCAGAGCCCCCGTTTAGCCCCTGTGGTGGACACATATGCCATGAGGGGAGGAGCCTATCAAAATTGGGCCTCCCCCCACAGCACTGTCCACGACAGAGTTGCCCGTCCGGCACCGCGAGGAGGTAGGGGGTTGTTTTGCCGATAGACACACACACACAGATAGACACACATACACAGATAGACACACACACAAATAGACACACACACAAATAGACACACACAGATACACACAGGCAGATACACACACACAGATAGACACACACAGATAGACACACACACAGATAGACACACACACAGATAGACACACATACAGCACGTGTGTAGTACCTGTACAGTGGTGGCGTGAGGGTTATGGCGAGGGTGAACTATGTCAATGCTTGTCTTGGTATGTGAGGATGTCTGTAACGGTTGTGGCGTTTAATCAGCAAGCTCACCTAAATCCCATCCCTCACCTGTCCCACCTACCTCACTCACCTCACCCTCCTTTCCTCTCACCTCCCCACACACCACTCCTCACCTCCCTCACGCCTCACCTTCCTCACACCACTCCTCACCTCTTCACGCCTCACGCCTCCCCTCACCTCCCTCACGCCTCCCCTCACGCCTCACCTCCCCTCCCTCACCGCCATGAGGCGATCACATTCCGCGCGATTTTAATGTCGCGACGACTTTCGTGAACCCAAATCGGCGCTGTCCCCGCCAACGCCAAGCGGTGTCAGCTACCTCACAACAATGACAACAATAGGACATCATTATTACAATGTTGTGTCAACGATTTAGAGTTTATAGGAGGCACCTTCTTTATTAACAACTTCCAAGGCCTCATCCGCACACTCTCCACAGTAGCTCAGCCCAGCCTGTACACAACACGAGCCGTCTAACGCTGACGGCGCTGACTGAGATAGCCAACTGCTCTCCTTCGTAGAGCAACGTCTAGCGGAGACGTTTAGCGACGACGAGACGAGACGACGAGACGAGATGAGACCACTCCCAGCACCGGCAGCCCTGAGCCCCCCGCTCTCTGCTCTTTTTATGCTCTCAGCGTGGCCTGGCTCCGCCCTGGCCACGCCCTGGCCACGCCTCCCTTCTCGAAGCCTCCAGCAGGTTCCAGGGGGCTCCAGACGGGGTCCTCCGTGACCCTTGCCCCAGTTCCTCCGCTCTGCCAACACCCACCGTGCTCACGCTCACCGGCGTGTGTGATGTCTATCCACCACAGCTGCCGCTGCTGTCCACCAGCCGGCGCTATTACGCTACAAGAACAATAATAATCATCATGCTGCGTAATGTGCAGTTGCAGCTACGACTGACAGCAGCGCCACCGCAATTGACCACCAAACTCATCGCAATCGGAACGATGTTTGAACCGTCTACTTAATGTCTGTGTACTGCCTCGGTTGTACTGTCGGTGTACTGTATCGTTTGTCGTGTCGAGGCAGGACTACTTTTGACGGGAGATCGCCTCAGTAATGCGCTTGGAGTTTATTAGCCGAATAGCCTAAATCAATGGAACAAAAACCACAACGATTTGAAAAACTCGACACGGGCGACATTTCGGGCAATGTCGCTTCTTAGATCGTGTTGTGGCTGACCAGGTTCTTGTTTGACTTCACACGCACGCATTGTAGAGGGCGGTCCATATGTCCTGTGCCTCCCCCCCCCCCCCCCCCCGCACCAAACCCATCGCAAATTCTCAAACGTTTATATTTTTTAAATTAATGTTTAAGAAAAAAAAACCCGAAGTGAATATGTAAAAGGAAAAGCGGTGTTGGGGATCAATCAATCTACTAGACATCAGTGAAAGAGAGCTATCTAGCCAGGGGCGGAGCCAGGATTTCAGGCCGGGGTGATATTCAACAAATGTTTATTTCAAGAATGATTAGAGAGTCAGGCTGTTGAACTAGACGCCATCGGTTGGCGACACACTCTGACAATGCAGTTGTACGGAGTCCACCAGACCGAGTGTCGTACACTTACACGCAGAATGTCACCCCTGTCACCCCCCCCCCCCCCGGCTCCGCCCCTGTATCTAGCTCACCAGATTCCTCCAGTATAAATAAATATGATTCCGATCATTGGTGGGGAGGGGCGGGTCACAAGAAACCTAGACCTCCCTGTACATTATTGTGCTGCCAGGGTGGGAGCGAGAGAGCTGCCTCCCGGCAAGAGCTTTATAGCTCATCGGATTCCTCCAGCTTTTACAATCGTGTAGTACTTTTGTCCGATTCCACTCTCTCCCCGCCCCCCCCCCCCCCCACCCCTGTGGGACTTGAGCTGTATCCACATCTTTAGGAATTACTCCCCCCGCCCACGCTCCGCCCCCATACTGACCCTGCCCTCTTTCCCCACCCCCCACCCTCCTCGGCTATATAAACCCGTGTCAGAGCGATCTCTTTCATGTGTCTCAGCAAATGTCTTGGCTGTGTTTGTCCCCACCTGATGAAGGACGCTTGTGTTGCCCCGCGAAGCGTCGTGATTTAATTTAGTTGTTTTCATTCATTTTATTGATTTTTTTTACCTACGTGACTTTACCGAAAAAAAAACAATGAGTATAGTTTTCAAATGTAGATATTTTTCTGGGTTGGGACCCCCAGACACCCTGGAAGATTTGGTCCCCCCCAATGTTGACTCCATGGCTACGGCCTTTGATGAGAACCATCGGTATGTATAAGAACCCCTGAATATATGTGTAATGAGATAGTGACGTCTACTGGTTGGGAAAGGGAAGCACGGGTACAGGCACCACTACAAACACTATCCAGTCCCAAAGGGAGAGGTATCTGGGCCATAGGTAAGGGGCGGGGCTGGCCACAGGCAGACGGACAGACAGACGGACAGGCAGACGGACAGACAGACGGACAGGCAGACGGACAGGCAGATGGACAGGCAGATGGACAGACAGATGGACAGGCAGACGGACAGGCAGACGGACAGGCAGACGGACAGACAGACGGACAGGCAGACGGACAGACAGACGGACAGGCAGACGGACAGGCAGACGGACAGGCAGACGGACAGACAGACGGACAGGCAGACGGACAGGCAGATGGACAGGCAGACGGACAGACAGACGGACAGGCAGATGGACAGGCAGACGGACAGGCAGACGGACAGACAGACGGGCAGATGGACAGGCAGACGGACAGGCAGACGGACAGACAGACGGGCAGATGGACAGGCAGACGGACAGACAGACGGACAGGCAGACGGACAGGCAGACGGACAGACAGATGGACAGGCAGATGGACAGGCAGACGGACAGGCAGACGGACAGGCAGACGGAGAGTCCTGACGCATGAGTCGCCGTCACCCCGACGGAGTTGTCGTCCCAAACGAGGATCGTCACTCGACCCGCGTCCCCCCTCGCCCCCCCTCGCCCCCCCTCGGCCAGCCATGGCTGAGCACCCAGCGCAGGTGGCCCTCTACGCCCTGATCGTCGTGATGGGCATCGCGGGGAACGCCGTCGTCCTCGTCCTCCTGCTCGGCTCCCCCACCGAGGCCCCGGAGCCTGGGCGAGGCGCCGCGCGGAACGTCGACAGCCGCCACCGTCGTCGCTGTGGTAGTGGTGGTAGTGGATGTGGTGGTGGTGGTGGTTGTGGTGGTGGTGGTGGTGGTTGTGGTGGTGGTGGTGGTTGTCTCCACCTCGTCTGCGGGTGTCCCGCGCTGCTGCTGTCTCGCGTCGCCCGCCTCCCTCCCTGGGGGTTGCTCATCGGGAATCTGATGGCGAGCAACGCGCTCCTGGGAGTGACGCGCAACACGCTGCTACTGGCCGCAGACGCCGGGTTCGATCCCCAGCTGGGGGCGGGCGCCTGCCGAGCGCTCATGAGCGTGTGGACGATGGCACGCTGCGTCAACACGTGGAGCTGCCTGGCGCCCTGCGCCTACAGGGTGAGTGGGTAGGTGAGTGGGTGAGTGGGTAGGTGAGGAGGTGAGTGGGTAGGTGAGTAGGTGAGTGGGTAGGTGAGTGGGTAGGTGAGTTGGTAGGTGAGTGTGTGAGTGGGTAGGTGAGCGTGTGGACGATGGCACGCTGCGTCAACACGTGGAGCTGTCTGGCGCCCTGCGCCTACAGGGTGAGTGGGTAGGTGAGTAGGTAAGTGGGTAGGTGAATGTGTGAGTGGGTAGGTGAGCGTGTGGACGATGGCACGCTGCGTCAACACGTGGAGCTGCCTGGCGCCCTGCGCCTACAGGGTGAGTGGGTAGGTGAGTGGGTGAGTGGGTAGGTGAGTGTGTGAGTGGGTAGGTGAGCGTGTGGACGATGGCACGCTGCGTCAACACGTGGAGCTGCCTGGCGCCCTGCGCCTACAGGGTGAGTGGGTAGGTGAGTGTGTGAGTGGGTAGGTGAGTGGGTAGGTGAGTGGGTAGGTGAGTGTGTGAGTGGGTAGGTGAGCGTGTGGACGATGGCACGCTGCGTCAACACGTGGAGCTGCCTGGCGCCCTGCGCCTACAGGGTGAGTGGGTAGGTGAGTAGGTGAGTGGGTAGGTGAGGAGGTGAGTGGGTAGGTGAGTAGGTGAGTGGGTAGGTGAGTGGGTAGGTGAGTTGGTAGGTGAGTGTGTGAGTGGGTAGGTGAGCGTGTGGACGATGGCACGCTGCGTCAACACGTGGAGCTGCCTGGCGCCCTGCGCCTACAGGGTGAGTGGGTAGGTGAGTGGGTAGGTGAGTGGGTAGGTGAGTTGGTAGGTGAGTGTGTGAGTGGGTAGGTGAGCGTGTGGACGATGGCACGCTACGTCAACACGTGGAGCTGCCTGGCGCCCTGCGCCTACAGGGTGAGTGGGTAGGTGAGTAGGTGAGTGGGTAGGTGAGTGGGTAGGTGAGTTGGTAGGTGAGTGTGTGAGTGGGTAGGTGAGCGTGTGGACGATGGCACGCTGCGTCAACACGTGGAGCTGCCTGGCGCCCTGCGCCTACAGGGTGAGTGGGTAGGTGAGTGTGTGAGTGGGTAGGTGAGTGGGTAGGTGAGTGGGTAGGTGAGTGTGTGAGTGGGTAGGTGAGCGTGTGGACGATGGCACGCTGCGTCAACACGTGGAGCTGCCTGGCGCCCTGCGCCTACAGGGTGAGTGGGTAGGTGAGTAGGTGAGTGGGTAGGTGAGGAGGTGAGTGGGTAGGTGAGTAGGTGAGTGGGTAGGTGAGTGGGTAGGTGAGTTGGTAGGTGAGTGTGTGAGTGGGTAGGTGAGCGTGTGGACGATGGCACGCTGCGTCAACACGTGGAGCTGCCTGGCGCCCTGCGCCTAAAGGGTGAGTGGGTAGGTGAGTGGGTAGGTGAGTGGGTAGGTGAGGAGGTGAGTGGGTAGGTGAGTAGGTGAGTGGGTAGGTGAGTGGGTAGGTGAGTTGGTAGGTGAGTGTGTGAGTGGGTAGGTGAGCGTGTGGACGATGGCACGCTGCGTCAACACGTGGAGCTGCCTGGCGCCCTGCGCCTACAGGGTGAGTGGGTAGGTGAGTGGGTAGGTGAGTGGGTAGGTGAGTTGGTAGGTGAGTGTGTGAGTGGGTAGGTGAGCGTGTGGACGATGGCACGCTGCGTCAACACGTGGAGCTGCCTGGCGCCCTGCGCCTACAGGGTGAGTGGGTAGGTGAGTAGGTGAGTGGGTAGGTGAGGAGGTGAGTGGGTAGGTGAGTGGGTAGGTGAGTTGGTAGGTGAGTGTGTGAGTGGGTAGGTGAGCGTGTGGACGATGGCACGCTGCGTCAACACGTGGAGCTGCCTGGCGCCCTGCGCCTACAGGGTGAGTGGGTAGGTGAGTGGGTGAGTGTGTGAGTGGGTAGGTGAGTAGGTGAGTGGGTAGGTGAGTGGGTAGGTGAGTGGGTAGGTGAGCGTGTGGACGATGGCACGCTGCGTCAACACGTGGAGCTGCCTGGCGCCCTGCGCCTACAGGGTGAGTGGGTAGGTGAGTGGGTGAGTGTGTGAGTGGGTAGGTGAGTAGGTGAGTGGGTAGGTGAGTGGGTAGGTGAGTGGGTAGGTGAGCGTGTGGACGATGGCACGCTGCGTCAACACGTGGAGCTGCCTGGCGCCCTGCGCCTACAGGGTGAGTGGGTAGGTGAGTGGGTGAGTGTGTGAGTGGGTAGGTGAGTAGGTGAATGGGTAGGTGAGTGGGTAGGTGAGTGGGTAGGTGAGCGTGTGGACGATGGCACGCTGCGTCAACACGTGGAGCTGCCTGGCGCCCTGCGCCTACAGGGTGAGTGGGTAGGTGAGTGGGTGAGTGTGTGAGTGGGTAGGTGAGTAGGTGAGTGGGTAGGTGAGTGGGTAGGTGAGTGGGTAGGTGAGCGTGTGGACGATGCACGCTGCGTCAACACGTGGAGCTGCCTGGCGCCTTGCGCCTACAGGGTGAGTGGGTAGGTGAGTGGGTGAGTGTGTGAGTGGGTAGGTGAGTAGGTGAGTGGGTAGGTGAGTTAGTAGGTGAGTGTGTGAGTGGGTAGGTGAGCGTGTGGACGATGGCACGCTGCGTCAACACGTGGAGCTGCCTGGCGCCCTGCGCCTACAGGGTGAGTGGGTAGGTGAGTGGGTGAGTGTGTGAGTGGGTAGGTGAGTAGGTGAGTGGGTAGGTGAGTGGGTAGGTGAGTGGGTAGGTGAGCGTGTGGACGATGGCACGCTGCGTCAACACGTGGAGCTGCCTGGCGCCCTGCGCCTACAGGGTGAGTGGGTAGGTGAGTGGGTGAGTGTGTGAGTGGGTAGGTGAGTAGGTGAGTGGGTAGGTGAGTGGGTAGGTGAGTGGGTAGGTGAGCGTGTGGACGATGCACGCTGCGTCAACACGTGGAGCTGCCTGGCGCCCTGCGCCTACAGGGTGAGTGGGTAGGTGAGTGGGTGAGTGTGTGAGTGGGTAGGTGAGTAGGTGAGTGGGTAGGTGAGTTGGTAGGTGAGTGTGTGAGTGGGTAGGTGAGCGTGTGGACGATGGCACGCTGCGTCAACACGTGGAGCTGCCTGGCGCCCTGCGCCTACAGGGCGAGTGGGTAGGTGGGTGGGTAGGTGAGTGGGTAGGTGAGTTGGTAGGTGAGTGTGTGAGTGGGTAGGTGAGCGTGTGGACGATGGCACGCTGCGTCAACACGTGGAGCTGCCTGGCGCCCTGCGCCTACAGGGTGAGTGGATAGGTGAGTAGGTGAGTGGGTAGGTGAGGAGGTGAGTGGGTAGGTGAGTGGGTAGGTGAGTTGGTAGGTGAGTGTGTGAGTGGGTAGGTGAGCGTGTGGACGATGGCACGCTGCGTCAACACGTGGAGCTGCCTGGCGCCCTGCGCCTACAGGGTGAGTGGGTAGGTGAGTGGGTGAGTGTGTGAGTGGGTAGGTGAGTAGGTGAGTGGGTAGGTGAGTGGGTAGGTGAGTGGGTAGGTGAGCGTGTGGACGATGGCACGCTGCGTCAACACGTGGAGCTGCCTGGCGCCCTGCGCCTACAGGGTGAGTTGGTAGGTGAGTGGGTGAGTGTGTGAGTGGGTAGGTGAGTAGGTGAGTGGGTAGGTGAGTGGGTAGGTGAGTGGGTAGGTGAGCGTGTGGACGATGGCACGCTGCGTCAACACGTGGAGCTGCCTGGCGCCCTGCGCCTACAGGGTGAGTGGGTAGGTGAGTGGGTGAGTGTGTGAGTGGGTAGGTGAGTAGGTGAGTGGGTAGGTGAGTGGGTAGGTGAGTGGGTAGGTGAGCGTGTGGACGATGCACGCTGCGTCAACACGTGGAGCTGCCTGGCGCCCTGCGCCTACAGGGTGAGTGGGTGAGTGTGTGAGTGGGTAGGTGAGTAGGTGAGTGGGTAGGTGAGTGGGTAGGTGAGTGGGTAGGTGAGCGTGTGGACGATGGCACGCTGCGTCAACACGTGGAGCTACCTGGCGCCCTGCGCCTACAGGGTGAGTGGGGTAGGTGAGTGGGTAGGTGAGTGGGTAGGTGAGTGTGTGAGTGGGTAGGTGAGAGGGTAGGTGAGTGGGTAGGTGAGTGGGTATTGAGTGGACAGGTGGGTGTGTGGGTGGTCGAGTGAGTGGAGAGGCGGGTCAGTAGGTGGTCGAGTGAGTTGACAGGTGGGTGAGTGGGTGGTCGAGTGAGTTGACAGGTGGGTGAGTGGGTGGTCGAGTAAGTGGACAGGTGGGTGAGTGGGTAGCCATCCTTTAATTGGTTTGCTTTTGCTTTGCCCATCTCCCCCACTGCCCCCCCTGCCCCCCTCTCTCCCTGCCCCCCTCTCTCCCTGCCCCCCTCTCTCCCTGCCCCCCTCTCTGCCTGCCCAGATGTTCAAGATGATTCGCCTCGGGCGCCGCGTCTCCCAGGGCCCACGACTCAACTCCATGGGCGTCCGCGGCGGCGGCGACCGGGAGCGCTGCGCCGTCAAAGCCTCCCTGGCCCTCGTCTGGGGCCTCAACGCGGCCTACGCGGCCCCGGGCCTCTTCTTCACCACGGCCAAGAGGCTGAGCACTGCGCAGGGCGCTGACGGTGGCAGCCTCATGCTCATCAGCAGCACCACGCGGCCGCTCCTCGGCTGCGTCTGGGACTTCGGGCCGGGCGGCCAAGGAGCCGGCTTCGTGTTCGTCATGGCCTCCCTGGTGGCCCACGAGGTGGTGCCAATCGTGCTCATGGTGGTCACCAACGCCGCCAGCCTCGTGGCGCTCAGGCGCTTCGCGGTGGAACGGAAGCAGGGGCAGCAGCAGCAGCAGCAGGGGCAGCAGCAGCAGCAGGGGCAGCAGCAGCAGCAGGGGCAGCAGCAGCAGGGGCAGCAGCAGCAGCAGGGGCAGCAGCAGCAGGGGCAGCAGCAGCAGCAGGGGCAGCAGCAGGGGCAGCAGCAGCAGCAGGGGCAGCAGCAGCAGGGGCAGCAGCAGCAGGGGCAGCAGCAGCAGCAGGGGCAGCAGCAGCAGAGGCAGCAGCAGCAGGGGCAGCAGCAGGGGCAGCAGCAGCAGCAGGGGCAGCAAGAGGCGGGAAAGTCAACAAATCGCAACACCGAGGGACCCACACTGCCCCGAGCGGACCCCGACGGTCGGTGGGGGCCGACGCCGCTCGGCCTCGGGTGGACGGAGCCCGGAGCCGGGGCCGCCGTGGGCCCGGAGTCTCGAGGGGCGGCGGGGTTGGATCCCGGGCAGGGGCTGCGCGCCGCCTCGTGGGCGAGGGCTCCGTGGGGCCGCGAGACGCCCGAGGTGCCACCCGAGGAGGATTCGTGCCGAGTCTACGACGGTTCGGAGTCTCGGGTTGCCGGTGACCCCGCGGGGGGCGTCCGCGAGCTGGGCTCGGAGGTCATCGGCGAGCCGCCGGCTTCAGATGTTGGTGGCAGCGTACGCGTTGAGACAGCACAGCAGCAACCACCACCACCACCACGATCACCACCACCACGATCACCACCACCACGATCACCACCACCACGATCACCACCACCACGATCACCACCACCACGATCACCACCACCACGATCACCACCACCACGATCACCACCACCACGATCACCACCACCACGATCACCAACACTTTGACCACCATCACCACCACCACGATCACCAACACCACGGCCACCATCACCGCCACCACGATCACCACCACCACCACTACCACCACCACCGCCTCCTCACCCAACCCATCCGACCGCTCGTCATCATCAACAACAACAACGCGCACTGACCGACTGGATCTAGGAATCGGCGCAGGCATTTTGTAAACACACCGGGCACGAATTCGGGCTATGGGCAATTATGATACTAATAATACTAATAATACTTATAATACTAATAATACTAATAATACTTATAATACTACTACTAATAATCATAATACTACTAATAATACTACTAATACTAATAATACTAATACTAATAATACTAATACTACTAATACTAATAATACTTATAATACTACTACTAATAATCATAATATTACTAATAATACTAATAATACTAATACTTATAATACTAATAATACTAATACTAATAATACTAATACTACTAATACTAATAATAATACTAATAATACTAATAATAATACTAATAATAATTCTAATAATACTATTAATACTAATAATACTTATAATACTAATAATACTAACAATACTAATACTAATAATAATACTAATAATACTAGTACATTTGTGATTTGAAGCTGTCGTGGCTGCAGGAATCCACACTCTTTGGTTCTTTCGGTAAAGTCACGTGGGTAGAAAAATAATAGATCACGTGGCTTCGATCGCAACACAAGCAATCGTCATCAGGTGGGACAACCACAGCCACGGCCGACTTCAGCTGTTTTTTTCTTGCTGTGGTTGTCGCACCTGATGACGATTGTTTGTGTTGCGATAGAAACGTCACGTGATGTATTATGTTTCTACCTACGTGACTTTACCAAAAGCACCAAGGAGTAATATAATTGTGTCAACGGTCTGTTGTGCGATGACAATCTGTGCACTACCGGGAGCTACACACGAGTGTGAGGACTTACTGCCAACGAAGCGTACACATTGGAGGGAATCAAATATTTTGATGAAACCGATTTATTTTGTTGAACTCCGATCACGTTTGCAATTCCCCCCCCCCCCCCCCGCCCCCCCCCCCCACAAACCTTCCCCCACACACAGACCGGAGGCCCCCGGGCCCTCGCAATGGGCCACCCCACGGGGAATTTGCCCTGCGGCCAGCCGGGGCCTGCCAAGGTGGCACGAGGCCACGCGGGCGGCGACGGCGGTGGCCTGGCCGGCGGTAGCCTCGCCGGCGGTGGCCTCGCGGCCTCCTCCTCCTCCTCCTCCCACGGGCTGGCGGCGGAGGTTCGCGCCACGAGGCTCGTGCTGGCGCTCGTCCTCTCCTTCGTCGCCTCGTGGGGCTCCCACATCCTCGCCGTGAACTTCTACAACTTCGGCGGGCGGCGCGAGGGCCCTCTCGCCGGCGCGCTGCTGGCCCTGGCGCGCTTCTCCGCGTCCACGTTCCTCGCCCTGTGCCCGCTCATCCTGGCGCTCGGCCACGCGCCCCTCCGGAGGCGCCTGCGCTGCGTCGCCGCCGCCGCCTCCTCGCCGAGACGACGCCGCCGCAGCGTGGAGGCCGGTGGCGTGCGGGTGGCCGTGTAGCCGTGGTCGGGGGCTGTCCGGTCCGTCCCACCCCTGCACCCCCACCTGCCTCCCGCTACCCGCCCGCCACCCCTCTTCATCATCACCACCACCACCCCCATCATCATCATCACCACCACCCTCTCTTCATCACCACCACCATCACCACCACCCCCATCATCATCACCACCCTCTCTTCATCACCACCACCATCACCACCACCCCCATCATCACCACCACCCCCATCATCATCACCACCCTCATTATCATCATCATCACCACCAACACCACCCCCATCATCACCACCACCACCCTCTCTTCATCACCACCACCCTCATTATCATCATCACCACCACCACCCTCATCACCACCACCACCACTCTCTCATCATCACCACCACCCCCATCATCATCATCATCACCACCCCCACCCTCTTTATCCAAGATCATCCCTTCATCACCTCCTCTCTCCCTGTAGAGATGTTAACTCCCTCGCCTGGTCTACAGGAGGTCGTGGGTTCGATCCCGACCCTGACTTCTGCTGCTGCTGTGTGTATGTGGAGTCTGCGGTGTCTCTCTCTCGCTCTCTCTCTCCCCCCGTGGTCGCGTGGGATTTTTCTCCGGGGTTTCTCCCCCTCCACATTTGTCATCGACATCACCACGCGTCTCGTGTATTTGACTGCTCCTCAACACGTCCACGTGACGCTTCGTTGAGCCACCAATGGCGATCGCCAGGTTCGCTTGCGCCAAACAGCTGCTGCCGTGGAAGCTCGGCCCGGGCCCTTGCCTCGGCGGCATGAGAACACCAAAGCGTCTGGTTGTGAGTTGAGAGTCCCACGCGGTGTTGAATGTCGCGCGGCGTGAGATCGCCACGCCACCAGATGGCGGTGTACGACAGCAAACGGCAAAGTGCGGCGCGTTCGTTGAACTTCTTTCGCGCCGCACGCAGCCAACCGTGGCGATCAGGAGGTGCGGGAGAAAGTACGACGATTGAGCGGCAGCAGCAGCAGCGGCGGCAGCAGCAGCGGCGGCGGCGGTGGCAGCGCGTGGAGCCCGAGAGATCGGTGCAGGAGACGCGGTGAGACGAGACGGATAGAGAGAGAGAGGGCGACATGGAGTAGGAAGAGAGGGGGTAGAGAGAGAGGGGGGGGGGGGGGTAGAGAGAGAGGGGGTGTAGAGAGGGGGGTAGAGAGAGAGGGAAGGGGTAAGGAGAGCAGAGCGAGAAATCTTTTGTTAAATCTTTCATTAAAAAAGAGGGGGTGGTGTTTACATAAAGCAAAGCATTAAAAAAACTAAATTTCGATTTGAAGCTTTCGTGACTGCAAGGATTCATCTTCTTTGGTTCTTTCGGTAAAGTCACGTAGAATGAGAATAAAACAATAAAATAACACAATAACATTCTCACGACGTTTCAAATTTGAAGCTCTGTCGTCCCGACAGTTCTGTACCTTCCACCTGAAGACGGCCGCTTGCGTTGTGGCCGAAACGTCGTGAGAATTTTATTGTGTTATTTTATTATTTTTCTCATTCTACGTGACTTTACCGAAAGAACCAAAGAAGAAAAAAAACCGAAATGATGAACGAAGCAAAGTGCCGACTATACCGAGCATCTTCTTGTTTCCTCTGATCGTAAAAAAGGAAACTTAAAATAAAAAAGATAGAGAGAGAGAGGGAGGGAGGTTCAGCTCGAGTCTAAAACTAAACTTGACTTGAAGCTTTCGTGACTGCAGGGATCCACAATCTTTGGTTCTCTCGCTAAAGTCATCACCAAGTAGGTAGAAATATGAAATAAATCACGACGTTTCGGGCACGACTTCCCACCTGACGATGTACGCTTGTGTGCTGCGCCCGAAACGTCGTGATTTATTGTATTTGATACCGACGTGACTTTACCGAAAGAACCAAAAGAGAGAAAAACAAACCGAAACTATTTTATATTTTATTTTACCAGGCCAGCCCCGACGGAAGCGACCTGGCTATCACAAACGATAGCCCAAACGAGGTGGCGGCTTGTCGTCGTCGTCGTCATCATCACGTGGAAGTTGATCTCAGCAGGCAAATACTCAAATCGCCGTGGGGATGTCGATGATTCTACACGTGGAGGGGAAGAAACCCGAGGACCCGGAGAAAACTCCACGCACACCACGTGGAGAGAGAGAGAGACCACAAACTCCACAAATACAGCAGCAGCAGCATGCGTCAGGGTCGGGATCGCACCCACGACCTCCTGTAGACCAGGCGAGGTAGTAAACATCTCTACTGGGAGAGAGAGGGAGACACACCACAAACTCCACAAATACAGCAGCAGCAGCAGGCGTCAGGGTCGGGATCGCACCCACGACCTCCTGTAGACCAGGCGAGGTAGTTAACATCTCTACTGAGAGAGAGAGGGAGACACACCACAAACTCCACAAATACAGCAGCAGCAGCAGGCGTCAGGGTCGGGATCGCACCCACGACCTCCTGTCGACCAGGCGATGTAGTAAACATCTCTACTGGGAGAGAGAGGGAGAGACACCACAAACTCCACAAATATACAGCAGCAGCAGGCGTCAGGGTCGGGATCGCACCCACGACCTCCTGTAGACCAGGCGAGGTAGTTAACATCTCTACTGGGAGAGAGAGGGAGAGACACCACAAACTCCACAAATATACAGCAGCAGCAGGCGTCAGGGTCTGGATCGCACCCACGACCTCCTGTCGACCAGGCGAGGTAGCTAACATCTCCTAGCCACCCTGGAGCCCAGGCACCACCATACAGGCAAGTCCTCGTTTAGCGCTCGAGAATGCGTTCCTGGAGGACGTGAGCAGCGAAAAAATCGAACCGCGCTACTGGAGGGGTCTCGCGACACCGCCGTGCACGCGGGGGTCGTGCGGTGCGGATCCCGACAACAGCGGTATGTATTACTCATGAGCATAATACACACACAGGGACTCCTCTACTTACGAACGAGTTAGGTGCCAGAGGTGTCTGTTCGTAAGTCGATTTGTTTACAAGTCCAACATTATGCCTGTCGATCCCAAACGTGTTGTACGGCGTGTACACTAAGCACAGCGAATGGCGTTAAGAGTTGTATCATCTCCTGTAGATGCCACCGGTTCTTCGCGTTCTGTAGATGTAGATGCCACCGGTTCTTGACGTTTTGCAGATGTAGATGCCACTGGTTCTTCATGTTCTGTAGATGCCACCGGTTCTTCACGTTCTGCAGATGTAGATGCCACTGGTTCTTCACGTTCTGCAGATGTAGATGCCACTGGTTCTTCACGTTCTGCAGATGTAGATGCCACTGGTTCTTCACGTTCTGCAGATGTAGATGCCACTGGTTCTTCACGTTCTGCAGATGTAGATGCCACTGGTTCTTCACGTTCTGCAGATGTAGATGCCACTGGTTCTTCACGTTCTGTAGATGTAGATGCCACCGGTTCTTCACGTTCTGTAGATGTAGATGCCACTAGTTCTTCACGTTATGTAGATGTAGATGCCACTGGTTCTTCACGTTCTGTAGATGTAGATGCCACTGGTTCTTCACGTTCTGTAGATGTAGATGCCACTAGTTCTTCACGTTCTGTAGATGTAGATGCCACTGATTCTTCACGTTCTGTAGATGTAGATGCCACTAGTTCTTCATGTTCTGTAGATGTAGATGCCACTAGCTCTTCACGTTCTGTAGATGTAGATGCCCGTGGTCCTTCACGTTCTGCAGATGTAGATGCCACTGGTTCTTCACGTTCTGTAGATGTAGATGCCACCGGTTCTTCACGTTCTGCAGATATAGATGCCACTGGTTCTTCACGTTCTGTAGATGTAGATGCCACTGGTTCTTCACGTTCTGTAGATGTAGATGCCACTAGTTCTTCACGTTATGTAGATGTAGATGCCACTGGTTCTTCACGTTCTGTAGATGTAGATGCCCGTGGTCCTTCACGTTCTGTGGATGTCACCACCGCCATCTATTGCGCGGTGGTTGAACCTACGACTCCCGGTCCGAACAGGCAAACTGGTCGTAGGTTTGTTCGTATCTCTAAATGTTCGTAAGTCGAATGTTCGTAAGTAGAGGAGCCCCTGTACACGAATGGGTTTTATTGGGAGTGTCGGCTAAAAGTTTGAACAACAATGCAGATGGTAAACATTAATTCGTGAATTAAAAAAAAGAATATTATTTTGTCGTACGAACTTCGGTGTTACGTATTCCACTGTTGCTTCTCTTGCAAGGCAGCGGTGGGACACGAGGTTGCAGCTGCTGCTGCTGTGCTGCAGATGTGGCACTTTTAAATCATCATCATCATCGAGATTGTAAAGCTCATTAGTCTCGAACTGCCTTTTGTCAGTTTCCATCCTTTCTCCCCTCCGCCGCCACCACCTTGCACCCCCGATTAGCACAGCGGGCTACGTACGGTGCGAAAGAAGTTCAACATACACTATACTACACTATACACTACACTATACACTACACTATACACTACACTATACACTACACTATACACTACACTATACACTACACTATACACTACACTATACACTACACTACATTATACACTATACACTACAATATACACTGCACTACACTATACACTACTATACACTACACTATGCACTACACTATACACTACTATACACTACACTATACACTACACTACAAACTACATTACACACTACACGAAACACTGCACTACACTATACACTACACTATACACTACACTATACACTACTATACACTACACTACACACTACACTACACACTACATGATGCACTACACACTACACTACAGACACTACACTGTACACTACACTATGCACTACACTATACGCTACACTATACACTACACTATTCACTACACTATACACTGCACTATACACTGCACTATACACTACACTATACACTGCACTATACACTAGACTATACACTAGACTATACACTACACTACACAATACACTACACTACACAATACACTGCACTATACACTGCACTATACGCTACACTATACGCTACACTATACACTACACTATACACTGCACTATACACTGCACTATACACTACAC